CTGTCATAGTGCCAGGAGATGTAATAAAATGAGAAGAGTTGTTGGGGGGGGGGAAAAAAATATCTAGTGAGCACCAGAAGGAGGGTCAGAGGTGATGTAAGGACAGAAAGGACAGAATGTGAGCAGAGGGTGCTTGGAGGTAACATTGCACTGTGATAACATCAGAAGTAGGACACAAAAGACTATGTGGACAGGGTCCGGAATAGCGTGGGTGAAAAAATGATTAATCCTTTGAAGGGTAAAACAGAAAGCATACGTATTGTCACTATGTACTTAGATACTTGCCCAGGATTCCACTTTAGCTTTCCATTCTGACTAGACTGTTACATCTATGAAAACACATGATTTTATTATTTTGACTTTGAGCAAGTTACTTTTAAAGTTTCATAGTTCTTACCTACAGGTACATTTTACATACCCTTTATGAACAGCTGCTATTTTCAATAATTCCTTATTTTGTAGCATTGCCCCAAAAAACTTTTTGGGACATTTAAACAATGAATGCTACAAGATAAAATATTTGTTTTCTGTGTATTAGGTACATATGTTCAATTCAACACCCCAAAAACTGGATATACAACAGGCATGAAAAAAACAAGTAAACTGGGGGATGAATATTGCAAGTAATCCAAATTTTGACTAAATAACTGCTTGCCCTGGCAACAAAATAATTCTGTCCATGGTTCTTCATGGAGAAGAGGCAAATAATTTCTCATTTACAATTTCTCTGTTTTTCCTCTTAGCTTTGTATACCATTTTATAGTTTTTGGGGCAGGGAGGTACTTTATAAAAGATGAAAAGGGGAAAAATAGAAGGTGTTTTTTAAACTTTGGAGATGGACAAGAAGCAAATGGGTTACAGAGAGAATTAAGGAGACTGGGCAGTGTGTGTGTGGGGGGGCGGGGGGGGAGGGAGTAAAAAAAGGAAATACTTTTTTGGTATATCTAAAAAACACATACATATACAAACACATATGCATGATTAAACACACTGGATGGATTGGATATTTGTGGCAGATTTTTAGGATTATATCTAGGGATAGGGTTTGAGTTCTGAGTCACCTTGGGTTCAAGGTGGATCTTACAGTTTTGATGATTAATTAATTTCTGAATTTAAGGCCAAACCTTTGCACCTGAACCCATAATGCCCCTGGCTACTTGAGAGCCAGTAAACTAAAAGAATAAATTCAGCCCTCTCATAATGAAAGGGTGAGCTCCTAGCAACCATATTGTCAGCATGTGTTGGAGCTGGTTAGTAAAACCTGACAAACCTATGTTGGGCGAGATACTTTGCCTTACAATGCAATACATATAGTGCTATACAGACTATGCAAGGCTACACAGTGCTATACAGTGCTAGTGTACTGTAGATTGCAGATTGTCCTTCTCGGGACTCTTTTTTTCTGTATCAGAAGACTTTTTTAAGTTTGTGGGGTGCAGTATACACTTGTTGCTGAACAGTTGTTGAAGCTGCCCATTGTATGCAGCACATCAACGCATTGCTGTGCGGGAACTAGCATGCATTAAAAGCATCACACAACCATCTCCCTATTGTCGTAGTTTAATTAGAAAGTTAGGCATTGCATTAATCTGAAATTATTATACAGCCATTCTGTTCTAAAGAGCTAAACCTAACCTTAAACAGCTGCTAGTCATATTTAACCCTAACCAAGAGGATAAGCAAACACTATTTCAAAGGAATAGTGCTAATCTTTATTTAAAAGTTCCAAATATGTGAAAAAAAATGTTTGCAATCTTCTTAACTCTTAGTGCATAACCTATCAACATAAATTAAGTTTAATACATTCAATAAAATTAAAAATAAACCATAATATAAATGTTGTAGGCCATAGCAATAGTTCAAAGCAATAATAAAATGTGTTTTTCTCCTGTGCGTTATCCACTAAGATGTGGGCAGCACAGTTGCCTTGTGGTTAGCACTTCTGCCTTGCAGCACTGGGGGTCCCTGGTTTGTATCCTGGTCAGGACACTATCTGCAAGCTTCTAGCTAAATTGGCCCTGTATTTGTGTGTGATAGGAACCTTAGATTGTAAGCTCATTGAGGGCTGGAACTGATGTGAATGTTCAGTATGTAATACGCTGCATAAATTATTGGTGCTATATAAATAGCTGTAATAAATAAACATGTATGCTGCAATTCCAACAAACATTTGTGATCCACACCCCCATGTGTATTAGAGAGATGTTTTGGGACCCTTTACCTTCAATTAACAAGGTTCATTATCCCTGCTAATTAGAGAGTCATTTCTACAACTCAGCAGGGGGCATATTGCAAACAGACCACTGCATCCACACAGTAAGCAAGGGTCCTTTTCTGTAGCATGCTGGCAGGTGACCGGCTTTTCTACTTAGACTGTGCCTGTATTCTAATGGAAACACACTTCAGGCTTTGCATACCTTTTTTTATGATGCACCTGGAATGTATCTAGCTGTTGAACTATGGTAAAAAAAATATTGTCTAACTGCAAGAGGCATGTGTATTCATATATTTTTGCATTTTTTGTGTACTTATTGCATATCTGTGCAGTATTCCAATGTGAAACTTTTTCTCTGTGAAGATGCTTACTGTAATAAATACCAGTCATGTCTGTTCTCTTTTCTTATGCAAGGTGACTGGTCTTTTATTGCCCCCCTCCTGTAGCTTTCTGCAGGCAACCTATAGTAGATGGACCTGCTGGGTCCATCCCAGAGCTCTGCTCTCTGCACAGGCTATGTGCAACACAGTGATTATGTCACTGCTAGTTTTACAAGGCTTTTTGTGAATGTGAAGAGGGTTTATATCCTTTGTGGCTATTGAGGAATATATTTAAAGGAACATTTTTGTACCCAGTTCTGCCTTGAGTTAAAAAACAAATTTACAGAACAAAGGAATTGTAAATATGTCAATTTAAAGATGCCTTTATTTTCTGTTGTTTCTAGGTGGTATGTGCCAGAGCCCAGCTCTTTCTGCGCTGCTCCGCCCCCCACTCCCAACCATGCAACCTCCACTGGACCTAAAACAAATCTTTCCATTTTCTTTGGACAGTACAGCGGCAATTAATCTCTTCCCTAACCTTAACCTGGCTGCAGTAAGTATATGATTTTTATCAAATAGATGAAGATTAATGAATACCACAACTGTGGTATTGTTTCATAGATATTACGGTTGACACATTATTTTATGTTACAAAACAATACAAACTTGTGTGATTCATTCACAAGGTCCAATTAAAGCACAATTGCTGTACAACGTTAGTTCTATCTATCTATCTATCTATCTATCTATCTATCTATCTATCTATCTATCTATCCGTCTTTCTATATCTAATCTATACAGTCACACTTGCATTCTGTTTAAAATAACTGAACAATTCCAATACCACTGTATTTCAAACAATACAATGAATTGACAGCTGTCAGCCTTCTAGTCACAAACCCTTTTCTGGTAGTAATAACACTGAGCTAAAAGCACAACCCATAATGATTAATGTTCTCTTAAAGCTGAAATGTTGGTGTAATAAATTATTGATTTTCTACTTCCTATCTAATATCATGTGTCTGAAGATGCCTATCTCATAACTGATCAGCTCTGTACATGTGCAGACTGCAGGCGTAAAAGAGAGTTTAACCTTAGAAGTAAGAACGCTTTCTTGTTAACCCTTTTCTTGGCCTTACTGCAAATATTTTTAAAAGAAGCCTGTTTCTTTTTATGTTTTTACGTAGTCTGGTTTATTTAAATGTTCAGGTGCAAAAACAAAATAATAGCATTAAAATGTAAATGTAAATAATATAACTTGTAGATGCCAGAACTATGGCATGACTTTGCTACCATTGCTGTTTTTCAAATTCCACGGCAGTCGTTATCAGGATTTTAAAAGTAACTGACCTGCAGCAAGCATGTAGACAATATAGTTGGAACATCTGACCCTATGTTTAGAGTCATTGACACGCTAGGTAGTAAAATAACCCCATAGATGATGGTTACTGGAGCTTGCACATTTAAAAAAAGTAAGCACCAAACAATACAACTCATCTGGAAAATTTGCCATAGTGTTACTGTACAATATCTAGAGCCTTATCAATACTCATTTTAATTGGACCTGTGTCTCACATAACAAATTTAGCATTGGTATGCTCATGCTTTGTTGGGATAGGAAAATCAAAACTGTCCCTCTTGAAAGAGAGGTATGATTTATGTCTGGAAGGTGATAGTTCCACCAATTTACAAAGTGGCATGACATGTATTCCTAATGTATTTACTGACACAGATGAAACTTGTAAGGGGATTTAGCAGTACTCATAGCACTGAGATCATATAGGCACTGCCTACATAAACAAGACCAAAACATAATCAGATATGAGCAGGCTAAATTCAGGCAATCCTAACACTGCTTGATAACTGGGAAAGGTAGCTGTTAATACCAAAGCAAAAATAGGCATATGCAAGCATCAGAAATATGTTTGTTTACCCTACTGGACAATTGTAGTCCGGGTCATATGTAAACTTCAAGACAAACCCGGAGATATTAAGCGGAGGGTTTACATGACTGTGGGGAAGAATTGTCCCTGAGGAAAGGGTTACAATTGGGGAATAAATATCAGATCTTACCTGATTGGAGGTGAGGGTCAGGTGGTAGCAAGGAGCCGCATGGCAAAGAGCTGCAGAGGCTGCTGGGAGTCCTCTTTGGAAAGTAGAAGGAGGAAACAGGTTGTCCAACCCTCCCTTGCTGTTGTTTTTTATATATATATATATATAAATATGTGTTTGGCACAGCACTTTGGCAGGTTAGGGGGTCTTTGGGGGTGTGGAAAATTCGATATAGTCACATAATGGGGGGGAGGAGATCTGGGGCTTCCCCCGTTGGTGTCAGTTTGTGAATGGAGGCTCAGCCCCCTGGGTTTTCGGGAATGATTAATGCTGGAACTGTGCTGGAGCTGACTCTAACTACAAAGGAGAAACTGCTTCTGAGTATAATGTAAAATATGGCCCTGGTGCAGTCTGAAAAGGGCCGGACAGTTTTTTCACTATCCACCATTATCAATAAGAATCCAGCTTGCATGTAGTTAGCCTAAAAGTCAAATTGACAGCTTTGTAAGCTGAGTTAATACCTGAAAAACACTGAGAATCATTTATGCATTTGTTATACATGTATCACAGAAAACAAGTGATAAGTATCCCTCCTAGTAATTACAGGGTTATATAAATTGCATTTGACAATGACATTGATTTTTCATTGTACTAACATACACATATACAGGCAATTGAAAGTTTGTTGTGACATTATGCGTCATCTGATTTGAACTCTTTGATTTGTATCTGCTACACCTTGCAATCTCATAATCATTCCTGTGTAATTATGACTTGTGATTTTCTTTGTGTTGAGTAGTGGAAGTAGAATGACATATGAAATTAGCTATCAGTAATATTTAACATTTTTACGCAACTGCGAAAAAAAAGTAAGATTACGGTTATAACATATTTCATCTTGTGTACAATCTAAAAATCTGCTACTGAGTGTTTTTCCATATTTCCCTGATTTATATAAATACAAAAAAATAATATTTTCTAATTATACTATACACATATAGCCTTAGGATTATTCTAGGGATTCCATACAACTGTGCAATTCTATGGGGTCAATTTACTAAGGCTAAATCGGCTATTAATTTTACAAGGGCATTTTCACTATTCAAGGGAATTTTTCCTTCATTTAGTGAATGTGGTAGAAATTCAATTTTCATAGAAAAGTTTTGTTTGCAAGTAATTGGATGATGGAAGTCCGCAGACCTGCACGTCATTCACTAAGCTGAAGTGAACAGGCTTTTTCCCCTTATTAAATCAACCCCAACGTCACAAATTCATGGTAAGAAAAACTCTCTATTCACTATATATGTTCTAGAGATTCATTTTTTACTAGATACAAATATGCTAGAAAACTTATCATTGGGCACAAGATTACATTTGCAAAGAATGTCACTATATCTAAAATCCTCATTTGCAATTTTCATATTGTTACTGAATCTGGGGGTAATAATTTAGGCTGGACTTCCAAAGACTATTTCTGCCTACAGCAGCCTTTCACAACCTTTTATCCTAGAGCAACCCATGGGATATCTTTCAGATCTCTGGGATCCCCTGATAAAAATTATGTCTATAGCTTATGTTATGTTAGCATGATTAGTAAGTTGTAAAGATAGAAAGTTTTAAATAAGGAAAATAATAATAATAAGGCATACCTGGAGTCTTTGGCACCCAGGGCAGATTGTTTTTAATTCTCCCCCACGCTATACAATTTTCAATTATAATCATAAAACAAAAAAACGAATAATAATGGTCAAAGAGCAAACCCTAGCAGTGGAAATTGAAACATCCTTAACATTGGTGGTCAGTAGAGAGGTGCCACCTTTTATTAGATGTGAAAAACTTTCCTCTTACATCAACAGTCGGTAAGCAATGCCTAGTGCTTAAAGAAACCCTAGCAACCTCTGGAGGAATCCAAGGGTTCAATGGAGCCCCAATTAGGAAAGACTGGTGCAGGCTTATGAATAGGTTCAAACTTTTTTGCAGTATGTCAAGAGCAGTAGACTCAGACACAAATACATATTATATACATTTCTTAAGAGTTACATATGTAAAGGAAAACAGTTACATATTTTAAAAAACTTACACTTACTCCAGTATTAATGGCATTCAGGGATGTATTGCACCTTCAGTAATTCTGAAACAAAAAAGATTCCTAGAAAATCATGATGGATAAAGAAGTATGATTGTATGGCATATACTGCAGGAACCATGTATGGCAAAGGTAGCAGGTAGACATAACCTGCATGAACACTTCATGGCAAGATATTTTCTATAAGTGTGCTTTTGGTTTGCTTTGATTGGTAAGCTATTAAAGACTTTATCACTTTTCTCCCTGGCTCAACTAGCAAAATGATTTATAGTGAAGTATTAAATGTTTCACTTCCATGAGAGTTGACCTGCAGTATATAAGGTTAGTTTTACATTATAGGACTGATTTATAAACAATTTGCACAGCTGTTTGCAGTGCGATTTAGATTTGTAATGCTGTATGGCCACTGCTAATCTCATTCACACAGGTGTTTGCAGCTCAGTTTATAAATCAGCACCTCATTTTACTTGTAACAGATGTTTAGATCAACAATGCAGTCTAGAAGATGCACCTTTGGCATAGAGTGTGCAAAATTCTGTAAAAGGAAGAACTGCAAGAAGCCCCAAATGTGAGACCTGTATGTAATCTAAGACTTGGGTTTTTCTAAAAAAAAAAGTGATCCCATGTTAATTCTTTTATGGCATCAATGCCTGGTCAGGAATTAATTCCTACCCAGCAGTTTGGCTGCAGATTGGTAATACAGGCATAAAATATACATTTTCTAAGGTGGCTACAGATCAGCTTAACCCTTTTTTTGACACCAATGTCAGGCTTACGTTGGCAGCTAAAGCATGTGAATTTAAACTGACTCCTGATTGCTATAGCAGCTGGGAGTTTATTTACATTGTAACAGTAAGTTGTCAGCTTTCTTGTGGAAGTGGTTTGGGTGTGGACGGGTAAGCCTATGTCCCAGGCTTACCCGTCCCTCTTGGAGGCCTAAAATCAGGATGTGAATCAGCAGGAGACCAATGAACAGACATTCAAAGATCTCCCCTGGGAAAAATTACATGGGAAGCATTCCGCTCTTATAACTTTTTTGAGTGCACTAAAATGAATTTGAGTTTTTTATTATTAGAAAAAAGGGTTTAATAAACAGTTTCCCTAATATCAGGTGCCTTAAACTGCATCTGTCATTATTTTATATAAAAGGGTCTCTACTTTTAGAAAATATCCACTAATTTAGGAGTCTTTAGTAATATTCAGGCCTAAAATTTGCATTTTAACATGAGCGCAACAAATGAAAAAATGGGTTTGCAAATTAGATGAATAGAAGACTAAGATCACTGGAAATGTATATTTCAGTGCTAGCTAGGATAGATAATCATTCCCACCACCACTAAAGCTGTAACCATTAGTGACGTTGTTCACTGTTGTCTGACATAATTTGTTCATTTTAGTAAAGTTGTTCT